CTTGCGGTCGCTCTGTCGTCCGCCTCCCCCCTTGCGGTCGCTCTGTCGTCTGCTTCTGCGCCCCGCGGTGACGATATACGGCTCCTTCTACCATGTTTACTCGGCAGTCGTCTGCCCGCCTGCGATAAAAACCATGTTTGATATCTCTGCGATGAAACCTGTCTCTCAAGTTCTCCCAGTCTGACGTGTCCACAGAGTCGGCTTTGTTCGACTCCAGCAGGCCCCCCCCCCTGCTTGAAATGCTCTTTTTTTCATTTTTTGGCAGAGATGATTTTGCACAAGCAAGCGTCTGAAATTAACTTTCTTTGGCTCAACCTGCCAAGTTCCGGTAAAGTACAAAAAAATAAAAAATACTGCCACGAATATTTTTCTCTCTCTTTTCATCGATGTCGACCCCTTTTCAAGAAAGGAAACTTTGCAATAAGCAGACAAGAGCAGATTTCTTCAACAGCTTTGATCAAGTCTGTCAATCACAAAGATAAAGAACGTATCTGTACTGCAGACAACAGAGGAACCTGTGTTCGTTAAAGTGTGTCAGTCTGAAGAAGAGCTGCACGTTGTTTAAAAAGAGACAAACTCAAACGTCACCAGACAGTTTTATTTCACCGCCAGAGATTCCGATGAGTCACATTCCATTCTAGTCTGTCCGTCCGTCCGTCTCTGCCCTTCCAGAGGATTATGGGCTTTTCTTAAGGACGGTTGTCCACATACTGTAAGTGTGACATGCATTCAATGAGCAGCAAAGAAGCACACTGGTGAAATGTCATAATCCGGATTTAACGATGGTATTATCAATGATTTCTTTTGGGGGGGAAATGGAGCTTGAACTGTAAAATAGAGCACGGAAAATAGAATAAGAAATGTATCACTTTTAAAATTCTGCAAAGCATTGCTGACAGTTTACTGATACATGATGATGATGTCGGTCCGGCACTTTGGTCCAAACTCAAATACTTCAACAACTTATACAGCGATGAGCTTGAAATATGAACCTGGTTTGATCCAATGTTTAGATTTATGTTCTGAAAATGTAAGAAAATTTGCAATTTCCTCATATGATAATACCTCATTTGCATATTTAAACGTACATTTTAAGAAAACTTGAAGTACAAAAGCGGAATTCCCTAAATGTAAGTCATCAGCTGGACAGGCTTCAAGGTGAGATCTACTAGCTAGTGTCTCCTGTTCCTCAGCGGAGACAGAGGTGAAGACGAGGACTGTTTGTCCTTCTGAAGCCGATTCCGTCCATTAGTTTCCGTAGCGTCTCAGGACTTTAACGTCTCACTATCTAGTTTCTAATCTTTCAATTACTTCGGTGTGTGTGGACGGATTTTTAGAGATAAAGAGACGTGTGTGTGTGTGTGTGGAGGTGTCACCTGTGTGACTGCACACACACACACACACACACACACACACACACACGCATGCACACACGCACACTGATAAACTGATCGATCTATTCTTTTATGACGAATGCATATTGATAAAATCAGCAATTTTTCCGAGGGAGAAAAGAGTGCACGTTCACGTGAGCGTGCACTGAACTCCAATGAAAGTGCACGAATGCTGAGAGATATTCTGTAATGTGGCAAATTTTGAGCTTCTCCGTCAAAGCGAATCCTTATTAGTGCTGATCTCTCAAACCGGATTCCTCTCCCTCCATCTCTCTTCCTCTCCCTCCATCTCTCTTCCTCTCCCTCCATCTCTCTTCCTCTCCCTCCATCTCTCTCTCTGCACACGGTCGTTACTCAGGCAGAGGGAACGTGGTGGCGTGAGTCATTTGTCACACAGAGATAGAGGAAGGAAAGAAACGACCAAGTGAAGAGTCTTCTCTCTCCCTCCATTCCTCATCCAGTGACTCAACAGTGTGGCGCTCAGAGATAGTGCAGCGACGCCTGAGGACACTTCATTTACAAATGCTATGTATTAATAATTGAAGTGATGAATAATACTTCAAATCAGTTGGTATTTCATGGCTGTCGTTCCGTGTGTTTACACTGGGACGAGATATTTAAACTGAATAAGAAATGTCCGTGTAAACACTGCGGGTTATTTTAAAGACACGCTCCCCGACGTCGTTATAAACCGGTTTGTTATGGAGAAGGCAGGTTCACATACAGCCCACATATACAGATATGAAGAATAATATCTCTAATAAAACACATCCCTCGTTGTGTTAACAGTCGTCATCCTGGACGATATCTTAGCCAATAAAACACATTTTATTAATTACCAGTAATTATTTAGCTGTAATTTAACTATTAACAGACAATTAAAAACGACTTTAATGTAATTCCACTCAGTTGGTCAAAATGTTGGATTTTCGAATAAGATAACAGACATTTCATACGAACATTAACGTTCCCCTCAGGATCCTCTGACCTTTCATCCAACACCATCATCAGGTCCACAATACTTTGGTTTGTGACCAAATACCTGCAGAACTAAAGACATCCCCATCAGCCTCAGCTGGACTTACACAACGGTGAACTACGTCACCACTTAATGGACAAAGGCAGGAATGACTGTGAGCTGAGCAGACCGGTGACAGTAACCACAGCGTTTATGGAAGCGTCCCCCCCGACTGGACTTGAACTGCAGGAGGACCAGAGAGCTGACTGAGCATCAGTGCGGTAGGTTATTGGAGGAGTGATTATCACTCCGGACGGGACTACGATCACTGACCAGCGCAGGTGAAACTGAATTCCTCCTCTAGAGAAATAAAGTTCTTTACTCGACTCACTGAAGCACCAAAGAATGGAACCGGTCTCACCGTCGTGGTTGGCGTTGCCGAGCGTCCAGGGCTCGTCCGAGTCGAAGTGGGTGTCTCCTCCGATGCCGGCGCCGGGGAAGTAGGCGTGCGCCAGGAACCCCCCCTCCCCGTCGAACGGAGAGCTGTCGCCGTGGAACCCGGAGGCGAAGAAGATCATGATGTCCGCCTCTTTACCCTCGTTCTTGATCTCCGAGTACGGAACCTCCTGAACGGGGACGCGAGAGGAGCAGAGAAATCTGCATCAGTTCATCTCACCAAGTACCGTGAGCTCGTACGAACATCTTTAGTATCACTAACACTGTGACTCTACAGCAAAAATAGATCAGTTATCTCATAGGAACAACTTATTTATAGACGTATAAACTTCTGTCATTAAGATGCGAGCTGCCGTGAGACTGAGCTGGTGTAACAGATCACAGCACTTTAATGTATAATAATAATGATGTAAAGCTCTGACCTGGAAGGAGAGCGGAGTGACCGTCTGCCACACGTTGAAGGCCTGTCGGATGGCTCTCTGGGTGTCCTTCTCTCCCACTTTAGGGGTGAAGTTGGAGATGCTGCAGAGAGCAACAGAGCATTGAGTGTTAAGGTACAAGAAGAAGACTGCTGCAGTCACATGGTCAAAATAACACACAATGTATGTAACTGAAGATCCGACACTCGTGCAGTGGTGAGCCAGGTGTTTGTCCATCTGTCTGCGCTCCTGCTAGCAGCTCTGTGATGATGTGCTGCTACATGAAAGGTCAGAGGATCACCAAAGTCTCTCAGATTCATCTTCTGGGATCATGAATGTTGTTGAGACAGTCTGGAACAAAGGGCTACACAGCTTTGGTTGATGGTTAAAATGTGTTTATATACGCACTCATTTTATATTAATAAAGGTTAGAATCTCTAATCACACCGAGACACATTTCTAGCGACGCGTCTCGGTGTGATTGGGTTTTTATTTAGTAAAACTAATGGATCAATATTCTGTGTTGGCCAATACCTTTTCATTAGGTTTAATACTCGTAGCGTGTGCAGCTATGAGAGAGGTCATTGTAGAGGAAACATGCCATCTACATCCACACTGCTGCGTGAGAGAGAGGAAGATATATATACACATGTTCTATCCTCACATCACTGTCACTGCGTCCTGTGAGGAAACACTTCCATGTAACAGCCTCTAAAACCTCCACTTCCTGAGCGAGCCAGAGAGAGAGTGAGAGAGAGTGTGAGTGAGTGAATGAGAGAGAGAGAGAGTGAGTGAAAGAGAGAGAGTGAGAGAGAGTGTGAG